TCTTGTAGGCCTCTTCACTGGTGTACCTTTCGTTGGACTTTTTGTCCACTAAATTTATAGGTACCTAGTGCAACTCACAGGAAAAAGAGCACCTGGCTATGAGGGACTGCTTGAACTGCTACAAAAAAAATTACCTGCTAGTGGAAAATGCAGGAACTGGCAAGTGTTGGAGCAAATCCTGTTAACGCTGCATTTTTTGGGACACTATACTATTTTGAACACTGGTATAGTTCTGATCTGATCAAAGATATTGATCTGTTCAGACACTATACTACAAGTGGAGGTTTATTGTGTATGTGCATGTTCCTGTCAATCAGGGGGTTAAATGTGATTACTGGTGTACTGACGGGCAATCTGACGCTATCTGGGAGGGACTTGAAACCCATGGAAGTGTGAATCACGTATATATACATGATTTTGCACACCCGTGCCGTCCTGTGGCAGTATTTCTGCTATAGGGCAGTCAGGGAGCGGTTACAGAAGAGATTTGTGTTTCAGCGCTGTTACTTTAACTGACAATTGCACAGTCATGCAATGCTGCACCAAAATTAAATTTACGGCCTTTTTTCCCCACGAATTGAGCTTTCTTTCTGTGGCATTTGATTGCCGTTTTTTTATTTTTTGCACTATTAAAAAAAAGACTGACAATTTTGAAAAAAACAACAATATTTTGGACTTTTTGCTATAAAACATGTCCAGTAAAAAAATTTAAAAATCACATTTTGTCATAAATTTAGGCCAAAATGTACTCTGCGATATGTCTTTGCTAAAAAAAAATCCCAATACGTGTAAATTAATTGGTTTACGTAAAAGTTATAGTGTCTACAAATGGCAGTATATATACTGGAATTTTTTTTTTTAATACTAATAATGGTGGCGATCAGCAATTTATGGCGGGACTGTGGAAGACATTCTGAAACTGGGGGGGAACTGACTTGGGGTCACTGACATCCCAGTGACACCAATACAGTGATCAGTGTAAAAAAAAAACACTGACACTGTACTAATGGCACTGGGGAGGAAGGGGTTAATATTAGAAGGAAATCAAAGGGTTAACTGTGTGAGGGGAGTGTTTCACTAGGGGGCATGGGGTGGGTGCTTCACTGTAAGCACACTGATCCAGAAGGCTTTGCTTAGCGATTCGGAGGAGCAGTGTGCTCAAACTGACAGGGAGGAGAGCTGCATTAAAAACAATGCAGCCGTGCTCCCTGTCAGTGTTTCCTGGTAATCGCCGGGCTCCTGCGGGTAATCACCGGCCGGGACCCGGTGATTGACACCCATGGCCGCGATTGGTGGCTCGGGTAGGGCAGCCACACGCCTCGTGCGTGCCCCCTCTCCGAAATGCAAAATCACGTATATATACATACTGTGCCGCCCTGCTACAGTATATCTACTGTGGCTGGTCGGCAAGTGGTTAAAGAAAAAAAATATATATAAAGACCTAAAATGCTGGTTTGCAAATCTAATATAATGTTTAGCATGACAAACTGCCTTGTCATAGGCAGGTAGCATGATATAAACTCCCTGCACTTGCTGTCATTTTAAGCCTGGTATATACATTCAGTTTTTTTTTCGTTCAACCCAGCGGGCTGAACAAAAAAAAAGAAACCAGATCTCTGTATTAACTAAGCGATGTTAGTGCAGCAGTTTCTCCCATTGTGCCTTGGAGACAAGGGGTCTCCCCCCATCAGAGCACACTAATCGGCGCTTGCAGCCATTGGCTGTGAGCACTGATCAGATGCTTGTTTTTCTAGCAAGACCCCTCTGTCAAATGGACAGCTTTACATATTGTCTGAATGTCAGCCAGTGCCCGCTGTACCGGCTGATATGTGGATTGTGTGTATTCCGCTTTAAAGGTTAAGTTCACCTTCTGTACAAAAATAATAAATGCACATTTTTTTTTTTTGCAGGTAAAAAATGTGCATTTATCATTTTTGGCTATAGGAGCCTGTAAAGCATTGCACTAGTGATCAGCAGATTGCTGGTGCCATGCAGGTCTCCTGCAGGAAGATTCAGTGAACTACCATGGCGCTCCACAGCACTGTGGTAGTTCATTCAGAACTACAAGCCAACAGCCACTAAGGCTTTTGGGACTTGTAGTTCATTCATTTACGGAACTCTGTGAATGAATGACTCGGCCATGTGAGTGAAGCTGCACTGTTTTCATATACTGACAGCTAGGACAGGGAACTTCTCCCCTTACTTCTTTCACAGATAGGGGGATGGGCAGCAGCTGCAGCATTGAGAATGTTACATGTTCCACCTAAAAACGGTTCACAAAGGAGAAATTATCCTTTAAGCTGGCCAAACACAAAAAAAGTTTTCCTTTGAAAATGTTCATTTTAAGAATGAATTTTGAATTTTCTAATCGTTAGTGGGGTCAAATTGATGTTTGCTTTGGACCACAGTAACAGGAAAATGAATAGGAGCTGAACAGAAAACTTTTCTTGATTGAACAAATTCCACAGAATGTATATATTTTTTGTTCAGAAATTACATTCATTTTAAAACTGAATGTTAAAAGTGAGTTCAATTTTTGAACGACATTCGTTCATTCATTGAATGTAGAAAATTTTCATATACGGACGAATATTCTCGTCCGAAATTGATACATGTATGGCCAGCATTAGACATTTAGTAGCAGAAGCATGCCTTTTTTTTTATCACCTGTCACGATGGAATTAAAAAAACAAAAATTAGCCCTTTATAGTACAAGAAATATAGATAATCAGTACTATAAGGGGTTAATGTATACAGTGAAACAGTGAAAGCAAATATATATATATATATATATATATATATATATATATATATATATATATATATATATGTGTGTGTGTGTATATATTTATATATATATTGTGACAGGAAGCCAGGAAGAACTAGGGGATGTGTCCAGGATGGGAGGTATATTTGTCCCAGATTCATGCTCTACACCTGTTTTTCCTTCTGTGCTGTGTAGTGAGCCTGTTTGGCTCACTGATGATTTAATGAGCTCAGCTGTAGCAGGTTAAGGGCTCTGGACTCTATAAAGCTCAGAGCCTCTGTCTGCTGCTTCTGCTGAAGTTGTTTCACGATGGCCGCAATTTGCTGTTGGTGGTTCTGTTCCTGCAGTTCCAACGATTCCCTATGGTGGGCCTCTGCCTGTTCCAGGGCTTGCTGCTGGGCTGCAAGGCTCTGTTACAAAACTTGCTGCTGGACTGCATCACGGAGCTGGTGGATGATAGAGACTTTGCGCTCCTCCACCTTCTGTTTGAGGATGCCCCACAGATGAGCAATAAGGTGTAGGTCTGGAGACATGCTTGGCCAGTCATTCACCTTTACCCTCAGCTTCTTCAGCAAGGCAGTGGTCGTCTTGGAGGTGTGTTTGGGGTCGTTATGTTAGAATACTGCCTGCGGCCCAGTCTCAGAAGAGAGGGGATCATGCTCTGCTTCAGTATGTCACAGTACATGTTGGCTGTCATGGTTCCCTCAAAGAACTGTAGCTCCCCAGTGCTGGCAGCACTCGTGCAGCCCCAGACCATGACACTCCCAGTAATTCATGTCCATAGTCTGCGTGTCTTCAGCAAGCTGTTTGCGGTCTTTCTTGTGCATCATCTTTAGAAGAGGCTTCTTTCTGGGATGACAGCCGTGCAGACCAATTTGATGCAGTGTGTGGCGTATGGTGGCAGCACTCATACGTACGTCTATTTTCCAAAGACAACCTCTGGATATGACGCCAAGCATGTGCACTCAACTTCTTTGGTGGACCATGGCGAGGCCTGTTCTGAGTGGAACCTGGCCTGTTAAACCGCTGTTTGGTCTTGGCCACCGTACTGCAGCTCAGTTTCAGGGTCTCTGCAATCGTCTTATCGCCTAGGCCATCTTTATGTAGAGCAACAATTCTTTTTTTTAGATCCTCAGAGTTCTTTGCCATGAGGTGCCATGTTGAACTTCCAGTGACCAGTATGAGAGAGTGAGAGCGATAACACCAAATTTAACACACCTGCTCCCCATTCACACCTGAAACCTTGTAACACTATCAAGTCACATGACACCGGGGAGGGAAAATGGCTAATTGGGCCCAATTTGGACATTTTTTCTTAGGGGAGTACTCACTTTTGTTGCCAGTGGTTTAGACATTAATGGCTGTGTGTGTTATTTTACGTCTTTCTTTTGTTTATATAATAAAAACGTTTAAAAAACAGTGGGTGATCAAATAGCACCAAGAGAAAGCTCTATTTGTGTAAAAAAAAAATATAAATTTATTTGCGTACAATGTTGCATGACCACACAATTGCCAGTCAAAGTAGCACAGTGGCGTATAGCAAGAAATGGCCTGGTCATGAAGGGACAAAACTTTCCGAAGCTCAAGTGGTTAATGGAAAGCTGAATTATATGACATTTTTGTTTTGGGATTTAGCCAGTAATGTGTGTCCATCTCCTAGTGGCTAGTTAAGTTGATTTTAAAGGATCATTATAAAAAATTAACAAACATGTCATACTTGCCTACTCTGTGTAACGGTTTTGCACAGAGCAACCCGATCCTATTTTTCTCGAGTCCCACGCCAGCTCGGCCTGGCCCCTGCTTCCGCCTTACTGGCTGATTGATGGCAGCAGGAGCCAATGGCTCCTGAGTCTGAGCCAATGAAGAGGGAGAGAGTGGATAGAGCCTCTGCTGTCGTGCACAGTACTGGATTGAGATCGGGCTCAGGTAGTTATAAGAGGAGGCTGGAGGGAGCTGCACACTGAAGGTTTTTCACCTTAATGCAGAGAATGCAGTAAGGTTAAAATGCTTCAGCCTTAGATTGGAGTTTAAAACTCCAATAGTGACTTTCAGTAACGGCGTATGTCCAGCAATCTTTTGTACTGGTTTACCACTATGACCCATGCCAAATGCTGTTTTATAAAAGAAGAAAATTAATTAGTTACAATTGATAGTGTTAGTTGCATTCTAACTGGACATTTTTTTTCTATAGCGAAAATAAATGTTAATAACACTGTCACTTTTTTTTTTCCAGAATCTTGTTGAAAAACAAAGTCGGGATGCAAACCAGTATGGCGCTTTACTTGAGAAACAAGTTTCAATGCTACAGAAGGCTGAAATGGAGATTCAAGCTCTTAAGGAAAAATTACAGGAGTCTGAAGACACAGTTGAGGTATTTCTGGAAAAAGAAGTTGGCCTATAATGAGAAAAGTTATATTTCCTGCAAACATCTCAGAGAAAATGTGCTCTGGAATAATTATTTTAATTGTTTTTGAACAATTTTACACTGTCCCAGCTTCAGGCTACTTTAGCAGTCCAAATATGCCTTTTTATGATACCTATGGCAGGGTCTATATTAGATTTTTCTTTGAAGAGCACTACAGTTTAACTCCTTTTGTCTAGACTCATTCATAGTCAACTATGGTCCTCAACACTTGTTACAGTATACTGTTCTTAGATGGTCTCACCATGGCCAAACGGTAGTAGTGGGACCAATGTTTCATTTGGGGAACGTATTATTACATGCAGGGCATGGTTGTATTCATGAGCAGTGAACCTTTAGAAATGTGTAGGGCAAATAAAAATACACTATTACATGCACTCTACAGTTGGGGGTGTATTTATAAAAAAAATTACATAGCATAGCAATTCAGCCACTAAAAGTGCATTTACATGTGTGAATATGGCAAAAAAGAATGTATTGGGATATTTCTAGAGCTGGTCGAAACTGTTCATTGAATAAGGGTTCATTTACAACACAATCTATGCGTTCAGCGTGTAGTTTCGCATGCGCATGCGCTTGTAGGGCATTTGCAGCCCATTTTCAGTGCATTTTTTTGCCTTTTTTTTGCTGCATTGCATTTACATCTGTTTGTGATGTGTTCTAATGCACTTACATGTGAAACACTGCAGCATGTTCTACTGTTTTTAATTGCAAATGGTGTAATCTAGGCTCATTGAAATACATAAATTTTTCCCACATATGCGTTTGTACTGCATTTAACCACTAGCCCACAGGGCACTTATACCCCCTTCCTGCCCAGGCCAATTTCCAGCTTTCAGCGCTGTCACACTTTGAATGACAATTGCGCGGTCATGCAACACTGTACCCAAATGAAATTTTTATAATTTTTTTGAGACAGAGCTTTCTTTTGGTGGTATTTAATCACCTCTGGGATTTTTTTTTCTTAAACAAACCAAAAAACACTGAAAATTTAAAAAAAAAAATGTTCTTAGTTTTTGTTATACAATTTTGTAAATAAGTGATTTTTCTCCTTCACTGATGTGCGCTAATGAGGCTGCAGTGTTGGGCACAGATAGGCTGCACTGATGGACACTGATAGGTGGCACTGATGAGGAGGCACTGGTAGGTTGCACTGATGGGCATTGACAGGCATCACTGATGAGAACTGAAAGGCAGCACTGATACATGACATTGATAGGCGGCACTGATAGGCGGCACTGACTGGCACTGATAGGTGGCACTGACTGGCACTGTTAGGCGGCACTGACTGGCATTGATGCGCACTGATAGGCGACACGGACTGGCACTGATAGGTGCCACTGATTGGCAGCACTGATAGGTGGCATTGATTGGCATTGATAGGTGGCACTGACTGGCACTGATGGGTGACATTGAAAGGCAGCTCAGATGGGCACTGATATGTGGCATTGATGTGCACTGGTATGCACTGATATGTGGCACTGGCATGTGGCACTGATGGGCACTGGCATGTGGCACTGATGGGCACTGGCATGTGGCACTGATGGGCACTGGCAGGTGCCACTTCTGGGGCCACACTGATCATCAGGGCACACTGATCATCAGTGCCCTGATGACCAGTGTACATGTCCCCTCCGCGGAAACCCAATTACCAGCTCTCCTCTCCTCTCGAACTGTCAGCGTGACAGCTCGAGAGGAGAGAAATGCCGATAACCGGCATTTCCGTGTTTACCTGTGATCAGCTGTGATTGGACACAGCTGATCACATGACCGAGCCGACATCTTCGGCTGTTTCCGTGATCCGCTGTGTCCGAGGGACACAGCGCACTGGCGATCGCCACGCTGCGCCTCCTGAGCCGCGCATGCGCAGTGAGAATGGTAGGATGTCATATGACATCCTGTCAGAATGAGAGAACCACCTTGCTCCCGTCATTGTACTATAGGGCGGGCGAAAGGTGGTTAAAAATGTGTTTGACTGCATCTAATTTAACAAGCCATTAAAACAAAAAGCACTGCCACTAGAGTGTCATGGGCCATGGCCACTAAGTATCATAAAAATGACCACCACTTACTGGCTAGATATGGTATTTTCCATTTTAAATCGATTAAATCATTCAGACAGCAAAAGGGAGGGCTAGTAACTTAGTTTTTTGCCCCATTCGCACAGAAAAAATGTACATGCATGTTCACTGGCCAAATTGCTATGCAATTTTTTTATGCAAAGACTCCATAGTGTGATAAGGCTTTTGTACTCAGTCAGTTAAGACACTGGAGAGTCAAATACATTCTCTGCTCACATGCTGCAAATGTTGATAGAATGGGGATGGTTTAGCGAGGTTTTATTGCTGTCCATTTATCCCACAGAGAGATTTTTCTTCTCTGCTTTTCCTGACCAAACAGAAGGTGAAGTTTAGTCCTCTTAAAGGAGAAGTATAGCCAAAACTATTTTGGCTGTACTTCCCTTTGGGATCACAGGAGTGCAGTTCGTTCTGCACTCTCTGTGGCCCGTTTTCAGCTGACAGAAAATTAAAGCCAACTGTCGGCTGACGTCAGTCAGCCAGTCCAGACTCAGGATAGATCCCTACTTTGTAGTTGGGATCCACCCAGATGCCTGGACCAGCAGCTGGCTCAGACTCTCAGTGAGCCACTGGGAGACTGAGCCAGCCGCTTCCACCCCCTCCACAGCCCAACTCTCCAGTGAGCACAGGAGAGGCAGAGATGAGAGCCAGTGACTGTCACTGCTTCCTCCTCAGAACAGAGGGGAGAACTGAGCCATCAGTGTTTTTTGATATATAAAATAGTAGTGCAGCGCTAAAAAGTATTAAAATTCATGGAAGTTCGTGTAATAAATCAAAAACAACATCAAATGTAAAATAAATATAATCAGATGAATTCATAAAAGTTCATGTGATATGTCTCATATATGGCATCAAATAGAAATCCTTCTGCTGTGATATGCTAGTAACTGGTAAAAATAGCAAAAATGCGCACTCACAGACCGCGCATTTGGAATGCGCATATAAGTGACCATCAACCGAAGTAGATAACTACAGATAGATGACAGGACATCCCTCCAGGGTAAAGATCATCAAGCCTTGGATGAAGTGATGTACAGCAGGGCACAGAGGTCTGCTTAAGAGTGGATGAACAGCCTGGATGTATGGGCTTTCTCCTCTGGATACTGGTATAGTATCCAGGATAGTGGTATAGTATAGGATGCTGCTATGTATCTGAAACCCTCAATATAGGGTCAAAAACAAAGAGGGAATGCTCATAGTGTAGTAGGTTGATGCTTTATTGCCATGAAGTACATATAAAAAACTTGGGTGCAAGTACAAGTGAATTGTCGAAAAGTGACAGACAAGGATAGTGTACTGAGCCTAGAGTAAAATGGCCGCCGGACCTCCTCCAGTGGTAGTTGTCACACGTGCTGTCGGCTCCTCCTGAGGCCTTTCGTACTAATGCACTTCATCAGAGGGGAGACCTCTGTGCCCTGCTGTACATCACTTCATCCAAGGCTTGATGATCTTTACCCTGGAGGGATGTCCTATCATCTATCCGTACTTATCTACCTCGGTTGATGGTCACTTATATGTGCATTCCTAATGTGCGGTCGGTGAGTGCGCATTTCTGCTATTTTTACCAGTTACTAGCGTATCACAGCAGAAGGATTTCTATTTGATGCCATATATGAGACATATCACATGAACTTTTATGAATTCATCTGATTATATTTATTTTACATTTGATGTTGTTTTTGATTTATTACACAAACTTCCATGAATTTTAATACTTTTTAGCGCTGCACTACTATTTTATATATTATGATATGAGGTTTATGTGATTCCTTTGAGTGTTCTAGCTGCTGTCCTTATGAGCGCTCGCTTTGTTTTAGTTTTTCTTAGTGGTTTTTGATAGCTCAGTTCTCAGTGCAGAGCCAGTGGGGGACAGCTGCAGTGTCAGATCAATGTTTTATCCACCTAGGCGAGTATAAATGTTTTTTTTTTTTTAACCTGAACTTCTCTTTTAGTAGTAACACAGACAAGAATTAAAACCTTTTCCCCACTCTGCTAAAAAGAACATTTATTGGCATAATTCCATTGAGTTACATAGTTAGTCTGGCTGAAAAAAGACAAAAGTCCATCCAGTTCAACCATTAAAAAAAAAGTTATTCTCCTAAACCAGGGGTGGGCAAACTTTTTGACTTGAGGGCCGCAATGGGTTCATATATTGGACCCGGGGGCCGGACCAAGAGTAGATGAATGATGTGTATGTGTCATCCATAGTAAGTATAGTAATATTCCCCCATAGTAAGCATAGTAATTCATCCCCCATAGTAAAAATCCCCCATAGTAATTAATCCCCCATATAGTAATTCATCCCCCATATAGTAATTCATCCCCCATATAGTAATTCATCCCCCATAGTAATTCATCCCCCATATAGTAATTCGTCCCCCATATAGTAATTCGTCCCCCATATAGTATTCGTCCCCCATAGTAATTCATCCCCCCTATAGTAATTCACCCCCATAGTAATTTATCATCCCCCATATAGTAATTCATCCCCCATAGTAATTCATCCCCCACATAGTAATTCATCCCCCACATAGTAATTCATCCCCCATATTAATTCATCCCCCATATTAATTCATCCCCCATATAGTAATTCATCCCCCATATAGTAAGTCCTCCATATAGTATTCATTCCCCATATAGTAAGTCCCCATATAGTAATTCATTCCCCATATAGTAAGTCCCCCATATAGTAATTCATCCCCCATATAGGTCCTCCATATAGTAATTAATTCCCCATATAGTAAGTCCCCCATATAGTAATATCATTATAGTAATTCATTCCCCATATAGTAAGTCCTCCATATAGTAATTCATTCCCCATATAGTAAGTCCCCCATATAGTAATTCATTCCCCATATCCTCCATATAGTAAAAATTCCCCATATAGTAAGTCCATTCCCCATATAGTAATCATCCCCCATATAGTAAGTTCCCCCATATAGTAAGTCCCCCCCCTGTGTCAATTCACTTACCTTTGGTCCGCGCGTTCCTCTCGTATTCCCGCGCCGTTCTGGTCTTCAAGGACTGTGAGAGGAGTTCGTCACGCTGCCCCGCCTACATCCTGGCTGCCCCGCCTACATCCTGACAGCTGCAGAGTTGACGTCCGAGAAAGGGAGGGGGGGGCGGCCATCCGAGAGGGGGGGCGGCAGAGGAGAGGAGGGGAGAGGAGGGAGGGGAGCCGCCCGGGCAACAGGAGAGCCGCATCAAATTTGATTGCAACTGGCCTTGCTTAGCTCCGGGGCCGGATTAAAAGGTCCGCCGGGCCGTATACGGCCCGCGGGCCGTAGTTTGCCCATTGCTAAGGCAAAAAACCCAGCAAAGCATGATGCAATTTGCTCCTGCAGGGGAAAAAATATCCTTCCTGATCCCCCAAGAGGCAATCGGATATTCCCTTGATCAACTTTACCTAGAAATGTTACTAACCAGTCATATTCTGTATATCCACAAAAGAATCCAGGGCTTTTTTAAAGCAATCCACGGAGCTGGCCAGAACCCACTCTTGAGGGAGTCTATTCCTCATTTTCATAGCTCTCACTGTGAAGAAACCTTTCTGTGTTTGGAGATTACATTTCTTTTCCTCCAGACGTAGAGTGCCCCCTTGTCCTCTGTGTTGACCTCAGGGTGAATAGCTCTACATCGAGTTCACTATATGAACCACTGATGTGTTTATGTGTTGATCATATACTCCATTAATCTCCTCCTTCTTAAGAAAGAATAGATTCAGTTCCTCTAATATTTCCTCATAGCTGAGCTCCTCCATGTCTCTTATCAATTTTGTTGCCCTTCTCTGTACTTTCCCCAGTTCCCCAATGTTCTTTTTGTGAATTGGTGCCCAAAACTGAACTGCATATTCCAGATGAGGTCCTACTAATGATTTGTACAGGGGTAATATGATATCTCTCTCTCTCTGGAGTCTATACCTCTTTTTTAATACAAGAGAGGATTTTACTCTCTTTACAAGCCACAGCTTGGCATTGCATGCCATTATTAATCATGTGATCTACCTGAACTCCCAGATCCTTCCCCACCATTGATTCCCCCAGTTGTACTCCCCCTAGTATGTATGATGCATGCATATTCTTAGCCCCCAAGTGCATAACCTTACATTTATCAACATTAAACCTCATTTACCACATAGTTGCCCAATTAAACTGTGCATTGAGGTCAGCTTGTAAGTTGAAGACATCCTGTAAGGACGTTATTCCACTGCTCAGTTTGGTGTCATTTGCAAAGACTGAAATATGATTTCTAATCTCAGACCCTATATCTTTTATAAATATATTCAAAAGTAAGGGTCCCAACACTGAATCTTGGAGTACACCACTGACAACCCTAGACCATTCAGAGTATGAATCATTAACCACTACTCTTTGAATATGATCTTTTAGCCAGTTTTCTATCTATTTACATATGGAGTTTTCCAAGCCCGTAGACTTTACCTTACACATTAGCCATGTGTGTGGGGAACTGTGTCCAACACTTTTGCAAAATCCAAGCATACCACGTCCACCGCCGCCCCTCTTTCCAAGCTTTTGCTTACCTCATAAAAAGAAATCAGATTTGTTTGACAACTTCTGTCTTTCATGAATCCATGCTGTCTGTTGCTTAAAATATTTTTTCCAGAAAGTACACATCTATGTGGTCTTTTTATAAAAACTCCCCAGTATCTTCCCAAGTATAGAAGTTAAACTAGCAGGTCTATAATTACTTGGTAAAGATTTTGACCCCTTTTTAAATATAGGCACCACATTGGCCTTATGCCAATCCAGTGGTTCTATGGCTATTGAGGCATTT